ATTCATGGATCTAATGAATCGGGTATGTCGTCCATTCTTGGATAAATTCGTGATAGTATTCATAGACGACATACTCATTTATTCAAAGAATAAAGAAGAGCATGGTCAACATCTGAGGCAAGTTTTAGAGACGTTACGGACTGAGAGACTGTATGCAAAATTCTCAAAATGTGAGTTTTGGATTAGAAAGGTGGACTTCCTCGGTCACGTGGTCAGCAAGGAAGGAATCCACGTGGATCCATCAAAAATCAAGGCTATCAAAAACTGGTCTGCGCCAACTACACCAACAGAAATTCGCCAATTTCTAGGTCTTGCTGGTTATTACCGAAGGTTCATCCAGAATTTCTCCAGCATCGCAAAGCCTCTTACCGCCTTAACCCAGAAAGGTGTGACCTACAATTGGGGAGAAAAGCAAGATGCTGCATTTCAGACTTTGAAACAGGCCCTTTGCAGTGCGCCCATCCTTTCTCTCCCAGAAGGGACCGAAGATTTTGTGGTGTATTGCGACGCTTCGAAGCAAGGGCTGGGCTGTGTACTAATGCAGAGGGGAAAGGTTATTGCATATGCCTCACGACAACTGAAAACGCATGAGGTCAACTACACCACTCATGATTTAGAACTTGGGGCGGTGGTCTTCGCTCTTAAAATCTGGAGACACTACCTATATGGTACCAAATGCACTATCTTTACAGACCACAAGAGCCTACAACACATCTTCGACCAGAAGGAGTTGAACATGAGACAGCGACGTTGGGTCGAATTGCTCAACGACTACGAATGTGAGATTCGCTATCATCCAGGAAAGGCTAACGTCGTGGCAGATGCCCTTAGTCGTAAGGAGTACTCTGGCCGAAGAGTGAAGTCATTAGCCATGTCAATCCATTCGCACCTGTCAACACAAGTCAAGGAAGCTCAAATAGAGGCCCTGAAACCCGAAAACGTGACAGGTGAGACCCTTAGGGGAATGGACAAGAATTTAGAAATCAAGAGTGACGGAGCACGCTACCTCATGAACCGAATATGGACCCAAGTTTGGTGGACTTAGAGAGGTAGTTATGAGCGAGGCACACAAGACTCCATACTCCGTACACCCCGGGTCAGACAAGATGTATCAAGATCTCAAACAACTCTACTGGTGGCCAAACATGAAAGCAGAGATCGCTACATATGTGAGCAAGTGTTTGACTTGCGCCAAGATCAAAATAGAACACCAGAAACCCTCAGGACTACTCCAACAACCTGAAATTCCTGAGTGGAAATGGGAGCAGATTTCCATGGACTTCATAACGAAACTGCCCAAAACTCAGGGTGGCCAAGATACTATTTGGGTAATCGTCGATAGATTAACCAAGTCCGCTCATTTCCTACCGATCAAGGAAACTGATAAAATGGAAAAGCTATCGAGAATCTACATCCGAGAGATCGTACGACTCCATGGAGTGCCAATGTCTATCATCTCGGATAGAGACAGCAGATTCACGTCTAGATTCTGGCAATCATTGCAAAAATCCATGGGAACAAGATTGGACATGAGTACAGCCTATCACCCCCAAACTGACGGACAGAGCGAAAGAACGATCCAAACCTTGGAAGACATGTTACGAGCATGTGTAATCGACTTTGGTAAAGCATGGGATGTTCACTTACCTTTGGTTGAGTTCTCTTATAACAATAGTTATCATACTAGTATCAATACTGCTCCATTTGAAGCCCTTTACGGCCGTAAGTGCAGATCACCTCTGTGCTGGACGGAAGTGGGCGACACACAACTAGCAAAAGGTCTAGTCCCTGATAGCACCCTCACTGGTCCAGAGATCATCAGAGAAACTACTGAAAAGATCGTGCAAATACGAGAACGACTGAAATCCTCGAGGGATAGGCAAAAGAGCTATGCCGACAAAAGACGTAAACCCTTGGAATTTCAGATTGGCGATCGGGTACTACTGAAGGTCTCACCCTGGAAGGGCATGATACGCTTTGGAAAGCGTGGGAAGCTAAATCCTAGGTACATTGGACCCTTCGAAATCATTTCAAGGGTTGGTCCAGTAGCCTACAAACTCCGACTTCCAATAGAGCTTAACAAAGTACATCCAGTATTCCACGTATCAAACCTGAAGAAGTGTTTGTCCGACGAAACACTTGTAATTCCACTCGATGAGATCGAACTAAATGAAAATCTTAACTTTGTGGAAGAACCCGTCGAGATCATGGATAGGGAAGTTAAACGAACTAAACAGAGTCGCATTCCAATAGTAAAGGTCCGATGGAATGCTAAGAGGGGACCTGAGTTCACGTGGGAACGAGAAGATCAAATGCAACAGAAGTATCCACATCTCTTCCCAGCCCCTAAGACTCTTCTTTTGTATTAAAATTTCGGGACGAAATTCCCTCTAACGGGGGATGATGTAACAACCCGTTATTTCAAGTCAGTAAAAATCGAGTCCTGTAACCTCTTTGAGAAAGGAATTAGAATATCATCGAAAAATGAAGTATTCAAAAACTCTATTTGGAGTACACTATGTGGTAGTTATCGTCTTAAGGTTTCCAAACATATAAATAACACAAAAATCCGAGTTATAACGAAGAAGTTATGATCATTCTAAGTTTTCCGACAAAAACCGGCAATACGAAGTTGCGTAAAAACGCAAAGTTTCAATAAAACACTTTCCGACCTTAGGTGTCTAAATGAAAGTCGTAGATATCGTTAAACTACAAACATGCATAAAAAGAACGCTCAAATCGGACATCGTATGAATAAGTTATGAATTTTTAAAGAAATTCCTTAATCACGTCATTTTAATAAATAAATAATAAAAATAATTCCGGAATTTGCCAACGGAATCTAAATGAAAGTTGTAGATCGTAGTCTCACCTTCGCGGGGATATAAAGAACGTCAAAAACGGAGTTCGTATGAAGGAGATATGAATTTTCGAAGTTTGATAAATAATTTATATATAATTTTTATTAAAACTTCGGTATTATCCGAAGGGAGTCAGCGTCTCATCCGAGGTACGCGCTGCGTACCCCTGTACGCCCGCGTACCCGAGGACTTGGCCTCAAACCGTCCACGTCGCCCTATGCGAGGCATCCGACCGCCCGTCCGACCCGCCCCATCCGACCCGACAGCTGAGCCGTCCCATCCGAGGCCGAGGCAGTCGAGGCTTCGGTCACGCATGACGTATGCGTACGCGCTGCGTACGAGCGTACGCCCCGCGTACGAGGCTTCTCAGGCCCCCTATAAATAGCATGCGAGGGTTCCCGGGAAAATGGCTCATTCTCTCTCCTTTTTCTTGCGTTTTACCTCGTTTTCCGTGCTCGCACTACCCCGAAGCCCTGGTCATTTTGTGCAAGTCCCGAAGGTCGATTTTACTCCCGAGGAATCCCGAGATTTCCGAGGAAAATCCATTTCCCGAGACGAAACTCTGCCCGGTTTTCCATCTTGCTATCTTCAAGCTTTCAAGTGAGTTCATACCCCTTTCAAACACACTTTAAATACATTTTAAATGCTTTTATACTCTTTTAGGGGGGAATACAAGTAAACATACGGTTATTATCGTGTATTTTATAAAGTTTCACTTCACTTGTTTTATCGAATAAATCACTTGGAACTATTTCTATTATGGAAAACTCTTGTCATACTTTGTGTGCATTAGACTTATACAAAGTATATAATGATTTCAAAGTACCTTTCATTGTTAAGTCGTTTTATACATTCTAAAAACTTATGATTTTGCTTTGTCAAACATTGTGAAAAAGGATAAACTTTGCATACAAAACTATCACTTTAATACAGGCTTAGTTGAGAATCCATGAGACGTGTATATCTTCAAACGTTACTTTTCTTTATTAGAAAGTAATGCTGCAAGTCCTGTCTATAACCAGAGTCTCCCGTTCGGAGAACGTGTCAAATGTGTATAGATCTATACGGGAAGTCATGATCCCGCGCCCTGACTGTTAGCTACAGTCCGTCTTTTGGGGTGACAGTTGTCATAACGCTGCGACGCCTGAAGAACGTCGTTACAGGCATATTATGTTTAGTATGGTTATAAAACTCATCGGATATACAATTATTATGGTATTATGCTTTTATGAACGAGTAGCTATTAAAACTATTCTTCATCTAACAAATGCGATCTTCGTATAGCTTTATTATATAAAACTATGACACAACTTTTGAACGTCGGTTTCTTGCAAAGTTTTGGTCTTAGAGACTGCCATTTATGTTAGGAAAATAAGGGATTTTCTGGTGCAATTATTTACAACTTATAACACGAACATTCATATGCATTTCATACTTTTATAAGAAAATAAGGGTTTTTCTTGGGAAACACAACAACTCGTATCTCAACCATTAGGGAAAATATGGGATTTTTTGGATTTAATACATTCACTTTCAACAAAACAAATCACAACTCTTTACATTTGAAATGCTGCGTTTTCTGGAAAATATACACCCATTTTGTAATGGCATCCAATTTTTCTAAGCTACTTATGAACTCACCAACTTAATTGTTGACACTTTTTCTTTGAAATAACTTGTATTCTCAGGGAACCGCTAAGCAGGTTTGGGAATCAACTTTTGGGATTAACGCGCTGGGGTTAATTACTTCTTTTGAATGATGTTTATGTATTTATCTTTGTGGAACATGTAATGAATACAATTATGTAAACATCTTGGAAACTTTAATATATATGGTGGTGTGTACTTTCCTTTCTATGAACTGTTATGATACTGAATATGACGTCCTCCGCTCCCGAACGTTTCCGCCGTTCTGGTTTGGGGGTGTGACATAAATTCCTCTTTCTTGTATATCTGTGGATTTAGGGCATGACCACTTAGTTTATAATCTTTTCAATCTTTAATTTTGTGTAGCACCTAGCTCCTGGTATGTATTTTATTCTAGTATCTTTCACTTTTGCATTGGACTCAACGAGTTGAGGTCCAACTCGTCGAGTCCGAGCGTTTTGGAAACATAAGTTTAATGACCTACATGACAAGTCAGCGCTCAGACTCGGCGAGAAGGCTGGATATGCAGGAAAGAGGAGCCAATTGTTGAAGAAATATGGCTTCAAATTGAGAAAAATTCTTGATGAGATCTTCTGAAGATAGTTGAGAAGACGAAGCTGGTTTTGAAGATATGGCTTTGAGCTCCTTTAACAGTGCGAAAACTTCCATAAAATTCTTGTTTTCAGTTGTAGAAAGTTGATATATTTGAGGACTCAAACTTTCATACAACTTGGCAAACTTTGTTACCACATCACAGATTATATCCACCTTTTGATTTAGAGATGCAAATTCTGTGCGAACAACTGCAATCTCTTTTTCCATGTCTTAGCGAAGCTCTTGAAGTTTAAAATTCACATCTTCTCTCACCTTTTTAACATCTTGAACAAATAATACATGACGTTCCTTTGCCACCATTTTCAACTCTTTCAAATCACCTTCAATGTAGACTTATGAGAATTTACCGTCATCTCATTGCTATGATCACAAATATCAATTTTCTCCAAGAGACGAGACTTAGAATCTTTGAACATTCCCGAAACTTTTGAGGTAATCCTCCCTTCAAGCAGTTTTATCAAACCATCAACATCTAAACTGGTCACTGAATTACCTCTCCCAAGATCTGCTTGTGATTGAAGAATTGAATTGATCTTTGTATTCAAGATTTTGAACTGCTTCATGGTCATTAGCATTTGATCTGGGAAATCAGTTTCTTCTTCATCAAACTTCAAATTTTCAAACATGCCTCCAAAACCTTCCGATTCATGCCCAGTTTCCATAAAAATAGACTCTTAAATTGGTGAAGTAGTTGTGGGTGGATCAGTGGATTGTGAAGAAAAAAGAGAAGTAATTGATTGTTTGATGATGTTGTCGAAGGTAGGAGAATCATTGGTGGAAGTAGTAGGAATGAGAGGTGTGATTTGTAGAGGAAAAGAAACAACAATTTCTAAGATAACATTCGAAGTTTTACCTTGTTCAGCTTTCCGCGAAGCATCCTCACCCATGATGACATTTGCATCCATATTAGATACGTTTACAAGAATGTTAGAAGTCCGTGCCTCCTCAAAAACTGATTTGGAAACCGAATCTTCGGGTGGTATAACAGCTATCTGTGCAGAAGTAGAAAATTCTTTGTTAAGATTGGCTTATGGAGTTTCTGGAATTGTTTCATCTTCATCAGCTGTAGACTCAGAAGACATGATCATTTTGCTTTTCTTCTTCTTCTTAGAAATGTGCTTAGCCATATCAGTAGCCCTTCGTTTCTTTGAAAGCAGGTGCAGGAATCTCACGAAATAGAAGTCCTTGATTAGTAACTTGTGGCTTTTGGACAACATTCGTGAGTGGATATCGGCTTTTGTGTTAGGATCTCATTTTTATTCTTTGAAAAACACCGATCTTCGAAGGAATAATTTATTTTTGAGTTGATGGTGTATCAGCAACAGAAACTTGGTATTGTTGGCTCTGCTTCTGTAACTGGTAACTTCTTCGGAATCTTCATAGATTTAGACTCCTTGACTTCTTTCTCAGAAGAACCAACATCAGTCTTCTTCATACGTTTGGATTTCATCTCTTCTCGTTCCAAAAGAATTCTAGGTTCAACAGCTGTATCAATTGTTTGTAAGTAAGTCACTAAGATTGTGTTCGTAGTATCAACTCATTTAAGCATTACATCTGGAATACGAGCAACAACTAGAAACTCTTCAGTATCATCAGTTGCATCCTTCGGACAACTATACACATGAAAAACAACTTTTTATTCACCAGTAGGAACCAGAATCCCCTCCTTCTCATCGAAATACTGTAAAATCAAGCTCCAGTATCTCGCACACAAAATGCCATGAAGAGCATTCGTGTTTTCAATACTCTTCAAGAATTCATTCCCTAACTGAGTAGAGTAATCGACTTGAAGATCATAAGATACCCCTGCTACCATGGCATAAACCTCAATTCTCTCCTTGTCCAAACCAACAGTTCTTCCATTTAAACACCTCAAGAAAATGCCAAACAAGAAATTCCAAGCACTAGGAAGACCCGACTTCTTGAAGTCAATTATCTTTGACAGTTGAGGTTGATGACCCATTTCATTAAACATATGTACAATTTGTGGAAAGGTAAAATTAACATATGGTGGAGAATTAGGGATGTCGAATCTGGCTGAAAATCTTCTTTGATAGTCTGACCTTTTTATCAGTTACCAGATTGAAAGTAACTGCATCCAAAGCTTTCGAATAGGTAGCAGTTGAGCCAACTTGAGAGAGCCATGAAAGAGGAACATAAAATGAGTTGAACATGGCTTTTGACAATACAGAACTATTCAGTGTAACGATTAGCATCTTGAGTTCTTCAAGGTATTGAGAAACATTCGCCTCTACTTGCTAATTTGTACTCTGAATCTTCATAATCAGCAACGAGGTAACATCATCAATGGTGTGAGAAAGAGTTGCATCAGGATTAGCAGTAGCCGCCATTTCTAGGGTTTGAAAGCTTGATCTTTATCAAAGAGTATTTGTGAATTTGAAAGCATAAACTTATAATGAACCCTTGAATCCCTTTTTATATGTAACTCTTGATTTTGAAATCAAAGCGGGATGTGTATTTAATGAACTGTGACCTATCACCGAGAAAACCGCATCATGATGATGATAACGTAACCATGCATGATAAAGTAACTGTCACGTCTCCTCAAAACCCGAACATAATAGAAAAAGTCCCTTTAAATAGGCTGGATTGTTTGCCCCAATGGAATAGTAACCGTCGAAACACTTTGTATGGAAGTTAGGCTCTTTTATTTTAGGGTTTTAAAGTAAAGTCATTTGCCAGAGTTTTGAAATCATCATCCTGAGTTGGTATTACTCAGACGCTCAAGGATTTCATGTGTGTAGTGTTTCAAAGAATATAGATGAGAAGCAATAATTTTTTTGGGATATTTAGTGATGTCAAAAATTCAATTTGACACAAAGGCAGTTAAAACCCCAGGGAAAGACTGCTTCGTTAATCATCAAGAGAGATAATCAACAGCTTGTGTATGTTCCCGTAAATTACAATCGAATACTTGTAAAGAAGTATCGAAGGGCTCCTTTTAAAAGGATTTTGAGGTGGCTTAATGAATTTCGTTACATATCAACCAAAACATAAGGTGAGTAATTGTAACAGAAATTACTTGTTTGGCTAGTGTAGTTAGTGACAATTTTGCTTTGGAAAACTTTTAACTATTGAATTTCGGATAAACTCATACTAAAATCATAATTCAAATAAATTTGTGTACTAGATCCTGTTGGGTAACAAATATCGTGGGTTTCGAATGTTTGATCAAGACCTCTCATAAGAAATGAATATGATTTGGAGTTTCGAATGAAGGTATAGAAACAAATGTTTCGTTAAACCATGGATCATAGTTCCCCATCAATTCCTTATATGTTGATAGATTTGGGTTTCACTTTCATCACGGTCTCATGATGTCTGATCATAAACACAGATTTGTGATATATCTAGTTTTCAATTGGTTTGATCAGAAACCTCTTAGACATATGTCTTCGTGTGTGATAGTGTAAGAATTTTGAGATAAAAAAGATTGGTATAAGAAAGAACATGTACCTATGTTATTTTTGGACCAAACAGTAAACTCTTAAATCATGTGAGAAGAGTCAGGTAGCTTAGAAGACTAATGTGAATACAAGCCAGATTGAGAAGAAATCTTCGTATGAAAATTTCATTAAGGCTTTCGAACATTGAGTCAATTAGAGGCTTTAGTCAACATGCTGCAACATGCTTCTAGGGACATATTAACTAGTTCAAAGTGTGTAAAAAATACCTGACCCTAGAACTGCAAGCACTACTCCAAGAGATTGAGCATGAAACTTTGCAACAAACAACGAAAAAGAAAGGAAAAACAAAAATATTTTTGTTGTTTTTAAATTTTTGAAAACAAAAAAAAATCTTTTTGTTATTTTTGATTTTTCGAAAATAAAAATGTAGTTGTTGCAAACATACGAAATATAAACAATAAAAAAAATGACAATTATATGAATTCGAAGGATTCGAAGAGTTGACTATGAACAATAACATTTTTCTTTGATGACGTGTCTATGAACCATTTATTTTTTACCATCATTCTCCTTTTTCGCATGGAACAGAATTTCCATCGATCATTCCAAGTCCTTCCAAAATTCTTACAAAATATTTTTCATCTAAAGCTTTTGTGAAAATATCAGCTAACTGATGTGTTGTTTTCCCAGAATGCACTTTAATATTTCCATCTTCCACATGATCCTTGATGAAATGATAACGAAGAGCAATATGTGTAGTCTTTGAATGCTGCACAGGATTATGACAAATTCTTATGGAACTTTGAGAATCAAAATATAATGGAATCTTTTTCATATTAATTTCATAATCCTGTAATTGGCTTTGAATCCAAATGATTTGCGAAGTACAAGCAACAACAACCACATATTCTGCTTCAACAGTTGAAATTGATACACATGTTTGCTTCTTCGACTGCCAGCTCACCAATTTGCCATCAAGGAATTGACAACCACCACTTGTGCTTTTCCTATCAGGACTACAACCTCCCGAGTCTGCATCAGAATAAGCTTGAGCAAAGAACCCTGTTTTCGAAGTATACCACAATCCTAATGAAATCGTTCCTTTAAGGTAACAAAATATATTCTTTACAACAGTGAGATGTGGTTCTCGTGGATTTGACTGATACCTTGCACAATTACACAAAGAAAACATGTTGTTAGGTCTACTAGCAGTAAGATAAAGTAACGAAACTATCATGCTTCTGTAAAGAGTTAGATCAACTGCATGTTTATCTAACGAAGGTGTCATCTTTATGCCAGTTGCCATCAGAACTCGTAATTTTGTGCTATTCGTCAATCCAAACTTCTCTAGAAAATTCTTTGTATATTTTTCTTGATTGATAAAAATACCTTCTCTATTTTGACGAATATTCAATCAAAGAAAATTATTCATTTTTCCCATCATGCTCATTTCAAACTTGCTTTTCATCAAATTTTCGAATTCACTAGACAAGGCAGGGTCAGTTGAGCCAAAAATTATATCATCAACATAAATTTGAACAAGCATTAGATGATTACCAACTTTCTTTCGAAATAATGTGGGATCAACGGATCCTTGTTTAAATTTAGATGGCTTCAAAAATGAAGTTAGCATTACATACCATGCTCATGGTGCTTGTTTCAAACCATAAACTACCTTATCTACGATATAAACATGATTAGGATGTTCTTCGTTAATAAAACATGGGGTTGTTCAACATAAACCGTTTCTTCTAGCTCTCCATTTAAAAATGCACACTT